GACAGGTTTGAGTTGGAGAATCAGCTGCGCCTGGAGCAGAACCAGCGCTGCCTCTTTGCCAGCAACACAGCAATGCAGTGGCTGGACATCCGCTTGCAGATGATTGGGGTCATTGTGGTTACTGCTATTGCAGGAATTGGCATCATCCAGCACCAGAAGCAACTGGGAAATCCAGGTAGATTGCCAGGGATTGATCTATGTCTGCTCCTAGGCTATGGCCCATGGGTTCCTCCTCTCCTAGCCCAGAGCTGAACATCTTCCTACACTGGAGTAAGATCCCAGAGCTCCTAGTCACCATCTGTCAACAAGTCACCCACAGTGTAGTGCTTCAGCTCCTGTCCCTCCTCCTGTGTGTCCCCATCCATGAGTGGGATCCCACACTCTAGAGTCCTGACTTTTCCTTTGTTTCTTTATCCTGCCAAAAGATCCCAGCTTCTTTCCAGCCAGTAACATTCTTTCTTACACTTTTGTTCTTGCAGGACTTGTGGGCCTGGCACTCTCATACGCCCTGTCTGTCACAAACCTGCTCTCAGGCCTCATTTCCAGCTTCACTCACACAGAGACCATGATGGTGAGTGTGGAGCGGACAGAAGAATACACCACAGACATCCCCATGGAGCCTCAGGAAAAAATGGTCCAGGTAAAAGCTCAAATATGTTCTCAGGGAGAGGCCTGTATTCTGGCTCTGTACCCTGCACTTGCCTCCTGGGGAGATCACAGGATTCCAGTGAGTGGGTGGAAGGCTCTCATGCACAGAAAGCACCTTGATCATTCATCTTTTACTAGGACATCCCCTGGGGAGGATGAATCTCTTGCAGGAGTGGGTAAACGCTGGAATGATGGCAAGAAATAGGAGAGCAGAATAGGTGCTAGATCCAAGCTGTGAGAGATTTTTCAGCCTAGGAGGGCGCTGAAGCTGGAACTGGACTCTGTGTTCATTCTGCTCAGAAACCAAGCAACCATCTGAAGGGATGGATGGGGCTTGGCCTACGAGGAGGTGAGGCTGAAGATGACAGTCAATCATTTCATACCCTTTCTCACCTGGTATCCTTCTTAGGTTGCTGCTGACTGGCCAAGCCAGGGGCTTGTGGAGTTCCAGCAAGTGGTCCTGGCCTACAGAGCAGGCTTGCCTAATGCACTTGATGGTGTGAGCTTCACTGTTTATCCTGGAGAGAAGCTGGGGATTGTGGGTCGCACAGGATCTGGAAAATCCACCCTTTTCTTGGCCCTTTTCCGTATGTTGGAGCTGAAATCAGGCCGGATTCTCCTGGATGGTGTTGACAGCCAGCTGGTGGGCTTGGAGGAGCTGAGGTATGGAGAGCTGAGCAGAGTTGGAGGTTAGCTGACTGGGCCTGGAGGCTGAGGGCTGGCAGTGGTTGGACACCAATGTGAAGAGTGAGGAGCAAAGGACATACTATCATGGCACCTTCTTGTCTGATTGTAGCAGCTTATAAGGAGTTGCTTTATTGTTTCTGAACAGCTGTGCTAAGGAAACCAGTCTGAATACGTGCCCCTTGTCTCTGTGCCTCTAAGATTTGTAGCAAGCTAAGATACACCATGAAAAAAGAATAGCAGGCCTTTGCTTTACTGCAGAACTCATCCCATGGCCCTCATCTCCCATTTGCTTGCAGATCTAGGCTGGCTATCATCCCCCAGGATCCATTTTTGTTCAGTGGCTCAATCCGAGAGAACCTGGACCCCCAGGGAAAACGGACAGATGCTGAGCTCCGTGAGGTGCTAGAGCAGTGCCACCTGTGGGATGCTGTTACTCAGATGGGTGAGTCAGAATGCAGTGGGAAGCAGCTGGTGAGCCCTGGTACTGGAAGAGGAGAGGAGAGAAGGCTTCAGCAAATGCAAGGAGCTGAGGAAAAGGGGCCAGGTGGATGCCATAGGGACTGGACTACGTGAGGTCACACTAGGACCAGGGTGGGAACAGGTCAGTGGGACCCAGAGGCATTCCCTGAGATTTTGTGTCAAGGGACTGACAGGTTATGATTTGGGTGGCAGGATGTTGCTGATGAGACCAGGCCTCAGTGGATGTTGTACCTGAGAGATAAGTCAGGCCTTATTTCTAGGAGAACTTGGCATCTCTGTGCCAGATGTTGCTTCTGTCCAGGCATAAAGGCTCCAGTTCTCAAGGCCTGGGCCTGAGCTGAATTGGGATTTTGTGTGCTACTGAGAAAACCCTGAACTGGGAGAGCTGTTTGGGGCCCTGTACAGAACCTGGTGGGGTGACTGCTGATCTTGATGCCTGCAGGTGGACTTGACAGTGAGCTGGGAGAGCGAGGAAAGAGGCTGTCTGTGGGACAGAGGCAGCTGGTGTGTCTGGCAAGAGCCCTGCTGACACAGGCCAAGGTGAGTGCCCTGCCTCCACTGCAGTGAGGGGGAGGGTGAGCTGCTGAGGGCTGTGTGGGAACAACAGAGGAGAGCACTCCAGAGCTGGGTGTGTAATGGGAACAGACACCTTGGGCTGTCTCTAGTCAGGGATTAGGGTCTCCCCTGGGGTGCTTGGGAGCTCCCTTCACTCTCTGTCCCTGGCAGGTGCTGTGCATCGATGAGGCCACAGCCAGCGTGGATCAGAAGACAGACCAGCTGCTGCAGCAGACCATCCGCCAGCGCTTTGCTGACAAAACAGTTTTGACAATTGCTCACAGGTATGGAGGAAGCAGCACTCTGCACCTCAATTCGTCCTGCCAGTTACAAGGAGAGATGGCTGCACATGGCGTGCCTGGGCCCCGAGTTGAGCAGGGAGGTCTCTGTGATAAGGCTTTTCAAGTGCAAAAGCTGAGCCCTGCATATTGCCTTTTCTGCTGGGTGCTGGGAACAACCAGGTGTGAAAAGGTTGTATCCAGAAATTGGGGGCAGCAAAGGGCAAAATGCCACATCATATCACAGATTGCTCTTCCTGGATACTGCCTGCTGGGATCGGTGGGGTGGGTGAATTGGGGCTTGTGGTTCTGCCGAATTAGGGCGAGGAGCAGTGGAGAACTATCCTGCAGAAAGGAGCAGTGTGGAGACTGGGGAAGAGTAGGTGTCTCCAGCTCAGCAGAGGGCACTGCAGGACAGCCGGCGGCAAAGGGCTGCAGCCAGCTACTGTTCTCCAAAATCGTGAATTTTGGTCCCAGCCTGCACCCGATGCCAGCAAGATAGACACTGCCCAGGCAGGGCAGGGCAACAGGGATTGCCCCACATCTGAGAGATTTGATGTAAGGGTAGGGCCAGTGGATGGTTGCTGCCAGAGGGAGGAGGACAAAGCATGAATACCACAGAGAAAGAATGGATCAGCATTAGGTGTTCTCTGCCCAGACTGCTCTTATGCTTGCCAAGTGGAGCAGAATTTGGAGGAGGGTTATGCAATTGTATGGAGGGTGTTTTCAAAGCACAGAGGTTACCACAAAAATACAAATCAAATGAGCAGGTGGCAGGGGCTGGTGTCCTGCTGCACAGAAGTGGGAGTGATGGATGACAGGCAGGGTGGGCTGGGCCTGGCAAGTGAATCAAGTGTGTCTTGTTAAATAATGAGGTGGGAGGGAGACAGGAGGGGTGTGAAGGGAATGTGGTTCCTACACTAGGAATATTAAGCATAAATAGAATAGAAGCACAAGGGCACTGTGGGCTGAGGTGTGTGTTTGGGTTGGGTGTGGGGAGGCCACCTCTGATGGGGGAGTAATTAGACAGGAGAACCAACCGAGGAAGGAGTGGCAGCAGGCAAGGCAGCAAGACTGGGTTGAAGATGGCCCAAGCCCCTCTTTCACTGGGATGAAGGGTGATAGAGAGCAGTAAGGAGGAAGAGGTGATGATGGATTGTTTTGTACCCATAGTACTTCCATGCCATTCAGCTCTGGGTGAAATCTAGGATGGGAAATTACTTTCTACTTGTCACTTGCCCCTCAAAGTCACTTCCAGTGCTGCAGCCTGCACTGTCTTGGGGATAGATGTGCAACCACAGTACTGAACTCCATAATATTTTTGCTTGTTCAAATCCTGTGCAGTGTCTTCCTTGTGACTTGCATCTTTGTAGGACTGTAGTTTCACACTGAACAGTGCATGACTCTGCAAAGCCATTCCCACTGCCCTGTCTTCCCTAACCAGGGCCAGAGGTTGCTGCCCTGCCAGCAGTCTGGGCAGAACTGGGTACATACATGTGCAGTGGGTCCTGTGGTTGGCAGTCTGGCAAATACAAATTCACTGGTGGTGGTGGCTTAAGCAAAAATGCCAGGCTGCTGAGGAATGGCAGCTGATGCACATGTCCCGTTTCTGCTGTCCCAGGAGGTGGCAGGTAGGGAAATGTAGGGCAAATGGAATCAACTCACTAACTCCTGTCGGAAAGGAGACATTCTATGCAACCTCAGACTCAGGCATGCTCTGAGATCTTCTACCACAGAACTTCCCTCTGTGCTCCTGGTGCCCTGCTGTGTGCAGCAACTGGAAGGCATCACTGTGCTTTCCTAAGAGGTGATGTGTTTCAGCAGTGTGCAGAGGCTCTCTGGGGAGCTGGGCTGCTCTGTGACCTTGAGCGCAAAGGGAGATGCTCCACAGATCCTAATGCTGAGCATGTCTTGGGCCACCCCTTAACAGAAGGGGAAGCAGATTCCCGAGTTTCTCCTCAGATCCACCAATGTGTGTCCTGGCATTTGTTGTCCACAGGCTGAACACCATCTTGGACTCAGACCGCATTCTGGTGATGCAAGCTGGGAGAGTGGCAGAGCTGGATTCACCCACCCGCCTAAGCCAGAAAGATGGTTCCTTGTTCCAGCGCCTCCTGCACAGCAGGCACCAGTGACCTCCCTCCTAGGCTGAGCCCAGGCAGCCCTCCCAGCTCTGTGCCTGGCTTTCCTCTCACCTCAGCTACCAGCCCTGTCCCTGCAGGACCAGGAGCTGCTGAGGTGAGGGAAGTGCTTATTCCTGCCTGCAGACCACAATTGTGTGTCCTTGGGGCGGGAGCATGGCACTGTGACCTTCCCTTCAGGAGGAAAGATGGGACCTGGTGCTTAGGGCCATGCAAGCCTAGCTGGTAGGATACTGCTTCTCTGAGATTACAGGGGGATTACATTTTTGCAATGTAAAATAAAACGGAATCATCCTTGTGAAGCTCTGTTATTCCAGTCCTTGTCCCCTTTCCCTCTGAGACACATAGTTCCTTGTGAGATACAGGAGTGGTGTTCTTCCTGCACAAAGACAACCCTACCTACTCCCTACCACTTTCAGAAGGCACTGACCTTTTCAGGCCCAGAAAGTTGCACCCAGGGACCTTGCTGCTTTTCCTCCAGTTTACAGTGAAGAAAGCTTTCCCCTGAAGGGCCAGAATACAATTACATTAAAGACCTAGTTTATTTTGAGACCCCTGCTTCAAGGGCAGCTCTCTATCCCTCCTGCCCTGCTCTCAGCTGCACAACCAACCAGCTGCTTTCAGTTTTAGGATCTTGCTCTTCTCATTGATACCCTTGAGCTGGACACACTGGCTGCATACTTAAGACAATGCCTAGTTAGTACACACCTTTGCTGTGTTGTCCTGAGGTAGGTGTCATTCCTTTCCCTGAGGCTGCAGGAGCCATCTCCACCTCTGCAGCCAGAGAATGGGACATGACAACTCCTTGTGCCACAATCTGGGTTTTCATTCTTGAGGCAAGTGATGGATACTCATCCAGAATATGTAGCTGAGCAACCTGACCTAACTGGCTCTGCCAAGAACAGGTTGGTGACCAGAGGTCCCTTGCAACCTAAATTATTTTTTGTTTCTCTGATACACTTTTCTGGGCTTGTACTTGTTTTATTTGATAAAGGTACATCATCCATCCATGTATTAAAAAAATAATCTTTCTGATGAAGCTCCAGTCCCCTCTCCCAGGTCTCCCTCCTGGCTGAGTGCTCAGTTCACTCTTGGCTCTCTTCACACCATCTTGAACCCATCTCTGCAACCCTACAGGTCAGTAGTAGACTTTGGGTTGTGGGGGCTTTTGCCTCACTCCTTAGCCCTCTGTGCCCATAACACGACACAGAAACCCCTGGACCCAGCAGAGATACTGATTGCTGCACATCAGATCAGCACAGGCAGGAACATACCTAGTACAAAGGCTGAGTGATCTGACCATCTCCTGCCTCTTAGCTGTGCTTTAGCAATGGTGGAGAAGGCAGTACTGTGTCTGCTTCCTATGGCCATCCCAGACTTTGTAGTCTGTTCTCACATCCACTGCGGGGACCTCAGCCTTTGTTGTATCAAGGAATGCTACAATGGCTGATTTGAGGTTAGGGCCAGCTGCCTGCCTCAGAGTGGAAGGGAGAAGAAAGGAAGAACTGGATCTTGTGTTGCTCCTGAACCAGCCACAGCACAGCTCCAGCCTTGTTCATCTCCAGTTTCACCTATAAGGACATATGAGAAGGACCAGCTTGGGCCCAGAGAACCCCAGAGGGAAGCAAAGAGTGAGGCAGAGGTGCACGCTGCAGAGGTGAAGGAGCTTGGTCATTTGTGGCCAGACCAGAAAGGATGGCTCGGTAAGTGGGTCAAAAAGACCTCTGGATCGTCAGGCGGAAAGTACAGAACATGTTTGTAACCCCAAGTCTGACAGCAAGAGGAGGGGGCATCACCCAGGGCAGAAGAAGGGCATGAGGAGACCTCAAATAATCTTCAGAGTCTCTTTGAACTGGCTCACAGAACCACAAGGTCAGGGAGCAAGGGTGTTTGCTCACCCCCTAGGGACATGGCATCTGAAATGACAGCCTCCAGAAACAGCCCGGAACCACCCCATCCAGTACTGCGGCAGGGAGCCCCATGCAACTGCAACTGTCCCAAAGGCCCCAGAAGAAACATCCTGACACCAGCAGAGCCCCCTCCAGTAGTCACAGAGAGGAGTTACAAAGGGCCTGGCAGTATTTGGGCTTGCAAGAGGGCTGTGCCCTCCTCAGCACTACCTGTCCTGTTTCTGAGCACTCACGTATGCACGGAATGGGCTGCTGCAAGCGGCACGCCATCCCTCCCCTGCAGGGCTGGCCCAACACAGCCCTGCTTTCAGGTGCCTGTGGGTGCCAGCTGAGCCAGCCGGGCAGGAGACAGCTCAGACCCAGGCAGGGCCACCACACCAATGCTCAACACCCAGGGTTTTGTTGATGTGTTCCCTGCCCTGGGAGCCCTTTCCCACTGCCCAGTTGGTGCCAGTGTGGCTCCCCAGGGTGCAGTTCGAGGGGTTTGCCAGCATGACAACCTGCCAGGGCCTGGTTCAGAGTCCTTGCAGCTCACAGCTCTGTTGTCTTCCTTGGCTCAATCAAGATGGTGTTGAGCATGCCCACCTGACACTCCTGGTCTTGGAGCTTCCTTGCAGCCTGAGAAGGGCTTTGGCACCAGTTCGACCTCTGACGGCCCCTCTGCCAGTTCCTCAGCATTAGCAGGACAGTGATGAGGACCAGCACCACTGTCAGCACTCCAAACACCAGCACTGTCACCAGCTGGGCTTCACTCAGCCCCGAGTCCCTTTGGGTCACCACCTCCTTCACAGAGATTTTCAACAACCCTCCCCCCGTCTCTTTCTCACTGTGGTTGGCCACACGCCGCCCTGTGACCGCGGTCCTGGCAGGCTCTGGTTGCGTCACCCCCGGCATCTCGCTGGTGGTGCTTTTCACACCCCCACCATTCTCAAGGTTTGCAGTGTGGTAGGGAGGAGACCAGGTGGGCTCAGGGACGGAGATCTCGCAGGTTTTGCCAGTGAAACGATCAGGACACAAGCAGTCATAGTCATTGATGCGGTCGTAGCACTTTGCCCCGTTTTTGCATGGCTGGCTGGCGCAGTCATTGATGTTGATGGTGCAGAAACGCCCTTCAAAGCCGATCTGGCACTGGCAAGAGAAGCGGTTGATGCCATCATGGCAGGTGGCACCGTTGGCACAGGGGCGCATCAGGCAGTCATCCACGTTGTGCTCACAGAGAGCCCCCACAAAGCCAGCAAGACACCGGCAGGGGGAGGTGCTGGGAGAAGTTGCTGGCAAAGCCGTTTTCATCTTGACATTGTCCACCATTCTTGCATGGAGACCTGTGTGGAGAGAGCAAGGATGGGTCATGGCCCTGGAGAGCAACCTGCTTCCCCCACCCAGCAGACAGAGCTGATTGCAGCCAGTGTGTCCAGCACTGGCTCTCTCCAAGGGGGCAACAATCCTAAGGAGAAGTCTGGGTGTGAGTTTCTGGGCAAAGCCGTTTTCATCTTGACATTGTCCACCATTCTTGCATGGAGACCTGTGTGGAGAGAGCAAGGATGGGTCATGGCCCTGGAGAGCAACCTGCTTCCCCCACCCAGCAGACAGAGCTGATTGCAGCCAGTGTGTCCAGCACTGGCTCTCTCCAAGGGGGCAACAATCCTAAGGAGAAGTCTGGGTGTGAGTTTCTGTCTCCTTGAGTTAGAGGCTGTGGGACCTACTCAAATGCTGTAGCTATGCAGGGCCCCCCCACCCACCAGAGAAGGTCTTCAGCCAAATGATTTGCAGAGGAAACATGCCCTCCTGATGCTCCCCAAAAGCATGATGGGTGTCAGCTCATCACACCTACAGCAATGAGAGACTGGAATCTGTTCAGATCGCAACAAAGACCTTGCTTTGGTGGGACCATGCAGTGCACACTGCTAAACCAAAGCCAAAGTTGATTTTGGCTGCACTCCATTAGCACATTGAAATGCACAGACAATGAGCCAAGCCAGGTCTTGACTTGGCAGTGCGTGACCCGAAGTTAATGCTGCTAGTAATCTCACTGATGTGTCTCACCCTGCCTTCTCACATGGCCCTGTCTTCATCTCACAGTCCTTCCCGTGGAAACCTTCTGGACACAAGCATGAGTATTCCCCATCTCGATCGTAGATGCACTGAGCCCCATTCTGGCATGGGGACTGGTGTTCGCAGATGTGTATGTCTGAGGGGAAAGAAAGGGTGTGAATTAGGGATAAAAGAGGGCTGATGTGGCCAATTCAATGTGAACACAACCTATCAAAGCCAGTGGTGATGGAGAAATGGCAGGAGCTTCTCCCTTCTGCCTTCCAATGGGCATCTGTAGCAATCAAAGTGCAGGGCCTATATGGTAATGAAGATGCTGTGCATGCCATCTGCCCAGCCAGTGGAGACCCCATGGTACAAAGGAGTCTCTGAAGTTGGAAAAGGGGAGCCCACCAGCCACCTGCTGAAGGCAGGAAGCCCTGGGGGAAGCAGGGGATGCTGCTTGGAGTCTTGATGCAGCATGGGAAATGCAATGAGTTCATCTACTCCGTTTCCCGGGACTGGCTGGTGTCATAACAACTCTTGCCATGGAGCCAGGGTGCAGGTGCTGGCAGCCTGACCTCTTTTGCAGAAAGGGGCTGGTCCCAGATGTGGCAGCCAGGCAACATCCCATCCCCCAGGCAACTCATGCGGCATCACCCAGGTGGCTTCTGGCTCTGTTGGCTGAACTGGCTCATGTCCATGTAGGATGTGCTGGGCGTCTGCCCTCAGCACTGGAGGCTGGGATGTCCAGCCCACTACTCACCTTTGTCACAGAACTTGCCAGCCCAGCCGGTGTGGCAGATGCACTGCCAAGGCTGGTGGCATGTCCCATGAAGACACCCCGGCATGCGCACGCACTCCTCGCAGTACTCGCCCTCCCAGCCTGGATCACACCTGCAGAAGGACAGGGCACAGCAGCGTAATAAAACCTGAGCAGGAACTGCGGAAAAACTGCCTATGTGCTGTGCAGGATTCCCTCAGATACAGCAGCATTCAGAAACCCTCCCAAAACCTCCTATGGACCTTCTGGTTCCCTCCTTCAGGGGAGGTCAGTGTTGGCATCTCATCTGCCCAAAGAAACAAGTGGATGGAGCAGAAGCAGACTCACCCTCTGCAGCCAGGGAGGGTGAGGGCCAGAAATAGAGCTCAGCAGCTTCACTTTTACTGCCCACGGCCTCTGCTCTCCTCCAGCCAGGTGCTCTGTATACATCACTGCATCAGCTCGGCAATTCCGGCGCCTCCCTCATTGCACAGCCAGTCTGAGAGGCAGAGAAAAGCCCATCCCCAACCCTGAACTCCCTGAGAGAAAGGGACAAGAGGCCCCTGTGGTCTGCATGTTTTGCTGCAACCCTTCGCACAAAAAATGTGCCATTTTTTGTCTGAAGTGCACTGTAATGCAGCTGTGAAACCTTGCCTGCCATGGCTGGTGTATGGAATAGACACATTAGCCTGCTCACAGGGGCAGTACAATGGGAAAACCTGCAGCACACAATGAGCCTTGTGGCCCCAGGAAGAGCAGCGTAGTGGCTATGGCTTAGTAAAGCCAAGCTGCGTTGCTTCCGTGGCAGGCATCCCTCAGACCTGCCAGCTCCCAGGGGGAAAGCAATGATAACAAGATGAGAGCTGAGTGGAGGGGCCCCCAGCCACAATAAAAGCTGTACTCAAACCAGCACGAAATTAAACCTAACAAAAACAACACAGTTCCTAGAGTAAGGAAGGGGGTTCATTTTCATGTTCAGGGCTCATTTCAGTGTAATGTGTGGCGACTGTGGCTTTGCCAGGCTGGCCCAAGGCTCCACTTTCATACCTGGACAGGCTATTGTCACGGCACATTGTTGCAAAGAGATGAGGAATGAGGAAAATGGTTAAATATATATAT